AAAAGTCTCGCCCGAACATTTGGTTTTTAGAATCTATCTATTTACTTACCGATTTTGACAATCTTGTGCTTTTGAAACTTCTTAGTACTTTTTGATCCAGTTCAGATGAAGTCAGGAAACAAAGTTGTTAAGAATAGATTTAAATGTTGTTAAACAAGTTTCAAGGCTTGAAAATACTGTAAAATATTAATATAAATATGTTAAGTGAACAAACGATTATATAATAGCACCAAATTCCATCACATGAAGTAGTTGATGTATTTTGAAATTTTTGTTCTGTGATAAGTTTAAATGAGGTGTTTTGTGCAAGTTTAAATAATGTAGTCTGTTAAGGTACTCTCAGGCTGCACATCACAAATTCAGCACACTACTGTACAGGTACACAAACAGTTATTCAAGCTGTGTATAATTACTTTGTTAAATATATTAATGAAAGTAGGTTTATCAAATCCTATTAAAATAAAAGAAAATAAAGTATTAAAAAACAAAAAAATAACAAACATTATGCTTTAATTATAACTGTCATTAGCATAAATATTATATCATGGAATTATGAAATCTAATTTTACGCGTACATCATCTAATCCTTACCATTGATCAACTTGTGACAAGTGATGAAATGGAATCCCAATCACATTATATATCTGTATATTACTATTCGCTTTAATAAAGTATTCACTTATTATTATTGTTTTCACAACAAAACTCACCAATTGTTTGCACAAGACCATCTTCAAGAACCGATCAAAATTATTATAATGCCTCCATCGAAAGTACTGGTACGTTGGCAGGTAGCACATACTGCAGCTCAGGACTGGTGATCTGATAATGGATATTGAATTTTAAGTTTTCGTGTCCATCTTCGCCAATACTTACAGTAGCTCCATCAATAACGACCTATGGATGCCATGTTTTTTTTTTTGGTTTTTTTTTTACTCCTGACAAAAAAAACAACATAAAGAAGAAATAAAAGAAAATGTTTAACTTCACAATTAAGATCGACAATATACAATAGGCTGCACAAAGATGTAGGCCTATACTGATATTAAATAAGGAAGTGGGTATATTTACGTCGTCGTAATCAAATCAGTAAACGATATATTTACGTAAATTAAACGACGCATGCGCAGTCATACTTTAATGACTAGCATTTTCAGCACTCGATATTAGCGTGGCCTCCCAAGCCGCGGTGATTCCCCCAAGTTCAGCATGGCACTAATTAATTTATAATTTTGTTTTTTATTTTTTTATTATTAAAACGTACTTTAATTTTCTACAATAGCACAGTATGTAGTTTAATCACTAAATAAATTATTAAATCAAGTGTTAAATTTTCAAATAAAAGTGATACTGTATTGTGAGCTGGAAATGTTATGTTCATCTTACTCAATCATTTGTTGAGTTCTGTATCCATACTTCGTAGACACATGCACATCATGCCAATGTTGCTTTGTTAGTGATCAGACTACTTGGAAAAATATGTTAAATATTAAAAAACATTAAAAATATTTGTTTTGTCTTACCAGGGAGAAGTATTTTATGTATGTTTTACATCTCCCTGGTTTCACTTTTTTCGTAGTGATTCAATAAATCTTACAGAAAATACATGATTATGCGTTGTTTACTTCTTGCTTCACATAGCGTACAGTACAGTACTTTGTAGAGTGAATCATGTGCTCACCAAACATGGTTTTTCTGTATGTTCTTCGTGATCGATTGGTGCTCGATTCTCGACCCGTCTGAAGACTATATAACAATGTTGTTTTTGTTAGTGACGACGTGGTTAATTTGTTTGAATAAAAACATTAGGGTGTTATTTAATTTGTGATGATTGACTATCATATCCATATTTAATACTGGTAGGCCTAGAAGAACATCGTCTTGATTCCTGGTAATTAAGTTTTAGCAAGGAAACCTTGCATAGGCCTAGGCCTTGTATTTAGGTCAAGTGTGTTCATTTAACAAATGATTGAGTAAGATGAAATTTCCAGCTCATAATACAGTATCACTTTTATTTGAAAATTTAACACAATGATTTAATAATTTATTTAATGATTAAACTACATACTGTGCTGTTGTAGAAAATTAAATTATGTTTAATAAAAAATAAAAAACAAAATTATAAATTAATTTAAAGTTCCATGCTGAACTTGGGGGAATCACCGCGGCCATGGGAGGCCACGCAAATATCGAGTGCTGAAAATGCAAGTTTGTTAAAGTATGACTGTGCATGCGTTGTTTCATTTACGTAAATATATCGTTGATTTCTTTACGATGACGTAAATATATCCACTTCCATTAAATTGTGTAGTATTTTATGCTTGAGAAACAGAAAACAGCCTTGAATTGTAATGCACTCCATCATGTTGGAATTCAATATTTTGACAATGACATTATGTTCTGGTGTATATGTGGACTCATATATGGACAGCCTAGCTAGGCCCCCTAGCTTGGGGGTGGGAAGGGCTTGCCAGCCAGGTCCCCTATACTAAAGTTACATCACAAAGTCTAGGCTAGGCCTAGCTATACACAATGACATTAGTTAGGTAGACAGGGCCTAGCCTATACACCGGCGAAAAATATAATAGACAAAACACGTAGGATATGCCTTGGCTTATGCCCCTAGCCAGATAGTTAACTGGCGATCCAACGCTAGTTCAAGAAACTAGGCCAGCATACGCTTAAACAAGAAGGGCTAGGCCTACGTATCTAGGCCTAGTATGGCCCAGGGAATGCAATGGTTTTGGCCGCAAATTAGGCCTAACACAGTAGTATAGTTAGGGAATTCAACAACAGTTAGGGCTAGGCTACACAAGTATAAATTACTTACTTTTACTTCACTTTCTTAGGCTTATGAATCTTCCTTCATTTACACTCGCTACAAGACGACGGCACTAGAATGGGCGCTTCCTTTGTGAATTCAAAACTTGAAACGGGACACCGGAACTGCCAAAGACAGCTAGTTCATTGGCTTAAGTCCGATGGTCCCATCATCGCTAGCTTCATTCACACGAACTGGTATTTCCACTGAGCATGCGCACACACTTATTAAGTAAAAAGTACCGCAATGGGGCATTCACTATGTCAAAACTGTAGCTACGTATAACGTCTTAAAAATGAAATATAATTAACAGTGGGTCAAAGGGGAATCCAGGGCATAATTATCTGCCCAGGTATGTGGCATGTGGGGCCCATGTACAATGAACATATGAATGGCCATGCATTTTCCCAGATATTTGGCACATGGGCCCCATGTGGCGTACATATTCCTACAGCTATCTGCCCAGTTACTTTGGCATATGGGGCTATATATGTAGAGTAAACACAGGCACAAATATTATTTCCTATATATTTGACACATTAGGCCCTATGGGAATTTGGCATATTGGACTCATGTAGATTGCACATGGACATGAATTTTCCCAGATATTTGGTATATGGGTCACATGTAGATTAAATGTGGCCATTCCCAAGGTTATCTTCCCTGTTATTTGGCATATGTAAATGTGTAAATTAAACACTAGCTTAAGCCCATGTATTTCCCCAGATATTAACACATGGGCCCCATGTGGAGCATATGCGGGTATTATTTCCATAACTATCCGCCCAGTTATTCGGCATATGGGGCCCGTGTAGATTGAACAAGAGCATGTCCATATTTATTTTCCCAGATATTTGGCACATGGGCTCCGTGTAGATTAATGTGGGAATTCCCATAATTATCTGCCCAGTTATTTGGTATGTGGTGCCCATGTAGACTGAAAATGGGCATGCCAATATGTATTTTCCCAGATATTTGGCACATTGAACCCATGTGGATTAAATGTGGGCATTCCCATAATTATATGCCCAGTTATTTGGCATATGGGTCCCATGCAAATTAAATAAGGGCATGCCCATATGTAACTTCCCATATATTTGGCATATGGGCTCCATTTAGATTAGATATGGGCCTCCCATATTTACTTGCCCAGGTAATTTACATATGGGTCCCATGTTTATTATATGTGGGCATGCCCATAATAATTTTCCCAGATATTTGGCACATGGGCCCAATGCGAAATTAATATGGGCATACCCATGTTCAAATACCCAGGTCTTTAGCATGTCTGCCCCATGTAGATAAATATGGGCATGCCAATATGTATTTTCCCAGATATTTAGCACATTGAACCCATGTGGATTAAATGTGGGCATTCCCATAATTATATGCCCAGTTATTTGGCATATGGGTCCCATGAAAATTAAATA